TTAATATTGGCATATTATTATTTTTTATTAATATTGGCATATTATTATTTTTTATTAATATTGGCATATTATTATTTTTTTATTAATATTGGCATATTATTATTTTTTATTAATATTGGCATATTATTATTTTTTTATTAATATTGGCATATTATTATTTTTTATTAATATTGGCATATTATTATTTTTTTATTAATATTGGCATATTATTATTTTTTATTAATATTGGCATATTATTATTTTTTATTAATATTGGCATATTATTATTTTTTATTAATATTGGCATATTATTATTTTTTATTAATATTGGCATATTATTAATTTTTATTAATATTGGCATATAATTATTTTTTATTAATATTGGCATATTATTATTTTTTATTAATATTGGCATATTATTATTTTTTATTAATATTGGCATATTATTATTTTTTTATTAATATTGGCATATTATTATTTTTTATTAATATTGGCATATTATTATTTTTTATTAATATTGGCATATTATTATTTTTTTATTAATATTGGCATATTATTATTTTTGGATGTTTGGACTAGAAACAAGACAAAACATCTAAGTAAGAAAAGCATGTTTTGCAGTGTGAAGTTTAACAGAAGACTTTTTCTTTGCACATTTTAAACAGCAGTGTTCATAACTCATCTCTAATAACTGATTTCTTTTCTTATTTGCACATAATATTAGACTACATATTCTTCAAGACAATAGTATTCAGCTTAAAGTGAGATATAAAGGCTTCACTAGGGTAATTAGGGTACAGTTAGGGTAATTAGGTAAGTAGTGATTTCTAAATTTACTTTGACTTGTATCTCATTGCAGACAATACTCCAAAAACGTAAACTGTACGAATTAGATCGTACGAATTCATACGAATTAGCCACTAAATGAAAAAGTTATGAATTGCCGTGAGATTGTGTTGGTTCTTTCAATACATTTAAAAAAAGAAAAGAAAAGAAAAGAAAAGCCTGTGCATATTTTATCAAGACAACGCAAAACCACATTCTGCAGCGGAGGAAGGGGATACGGGTACTGGACTGGCCTGCCTGCAGTCCTGACCTGTCTCCAATAGAGGATGGGTGGTGAATTTTGCACCTCAGCCTACTTTTAAACTAAATATATAATAACTGGTTTATATTTATGATCTCTGATGACATAATAATTGATTTAACGAGCTGTGAGCTGACATTTTGGAGTATCCATAGATCTGTCCAAAGTCCTAGATCACTCACTTTGTCAAGAGGCCTAAAGAAAACGGATCTTGTCATTCAGGAATGTAATGGCCCGTTTCCACTGAGTGGTACGGTACGGCTCGGTTTGGTATGCTTTTATGGCCGTTTTGTCAAAAGGGTACCAAACCGTACCGTACCACTTTTTCGGCACCCTTTCGAAAGGATACAAAAAACTGTGGAGGGCACAGCAAGGATAAGTCACTTATAAATTAAAACTGTATTATTTTATGCAACAGCCTTACATTTAAAAGGGAAACCTAGTGTGGTCATAAGCAGAAAGACCCCAGCCTATCAGGCTAGATGTTTTCTTTCCCTTATTTATATATTAATTTGCCTCATGTGCGATCGGAAAACTAGTTTAATGACGGCACGCCATCTTTACCAGACTTGGGCAAACTCCGCCTCTCCTTTCACTCCGCCCTCTTTTGCCCAAGGTATTCGGCGGGCAGAAAAAGGCCGGCCACTGGCCCGAGAAAGCCCCGCTTTGGCCAGATCAGGCCCCGGAGGTGACAGTGGAAAGCGACTGGTCTTGGCTCGCCCTGGCTCGCTTGCTTTAGGCGAGATAGTGAAAACGCGGCTAATCAGTTTCCTAGAACTTCTGTGTTCAGCTGCCGTCACACACTCTACACAGTAGAAGAGCTGGAGGAACACAGACACACTGAGCTGAATTAATGACGAAAACAAGACTACATGTTTGCGTGTCTAGAAAATGCTTCTTGATTTAAGAGTTTGCAGATATTTGGACTAGAAGCAAGACAGAAGCTCTCAGTAAGAACCGCATTATATCAGTGTGGAACAGTTCTAGTCATCACTTCTCAATCCTCTTCTGTAGCTGAGTTGGTTTAGTGTTTGTGGGACTGACCAGCAGAAAATGCAGGAGGAAAGATGGCGTCCGTCCTCCTTTATGACCCATGGTGTCGTCTTCCAGCTGAGGATCTGAAAAAAAAGAGCAAAGCACACTTAAAGTGCTGGATTCATGACTGCATGAGGGAATTAAAGCATGCATGAGGTCGACAGAGAGAAGCAAACATCTCAAGACATTTTTATGATGAGCAGAGTGAAGTGCACATCTCTCCCGGACAGTAGATGGCGCTTAATGAAACACAGAGATACTCCAGTACACAAGGGGGCGCTGCGCATGTGTGTTGTGTATTAACAGCATCATCTTTTCCTCTTGTGTTTATCCTCCTCCACTACAGCACACAAACACCTCGAATAAGTCTAAAGAAAATCAGGTGATCTGCAGATTGTGTGTGTTTGGCTTAGGGATGCAGTGATTTTAAATTTTGGTTGTATGATTATAGTACAAGAAATAATCACGATGTCATGGTTATTATGATTAATTGCATTCATTGATTTCAAAACCGGTGAGACAGTGGCGCAGTAGGTAGTGCTGTCGCCTCACAGTAAGAAGGTTGCTAGGTCGCTGGTTCGATCCTCGGCTCAGTGGGCGTTTCTGTGTGGAGTTTGCATGTTCTCCCTGCATTCGTGTGGGTTTCCTCCAGGTTTCTCCCACAGTCCAAAGACATGCGGTACAGGCGAATTGGGTAGGCTAAATTGTCCATAGTGTATGAGTGTGTTTGTGTGTGAATGTGTGTGTGTGAATGTTTCCCAGAGATGGGTTGTGGCCAGGGACCCCAATTTGAAAACGAAAGTGACCGGTTATGAAAATGAAGTGAGGTGTCGCGGACCTCTTTTCCAGCGCACTATGCACGGATATAACTGAGGACGCGCGGGTGCTGAGGGAGGGAGGTGTCGCGACACTGCGCTCTTTATTCTGCCGCCTATGCGCGGATATAACTGAGGACGCGCGGTTGTCGCGAACTTCCATTCTGCTGGTGCTGATGGAGGTGTCGCTGACGCCGCCTTCTCTATTCTATCGTTTATGCACGAATATATCTGAGGACGCGGGTGGTAAGGGAGGTGTCACGGACGCCGCCCACTCTATACTGCCGCCCTAGGCGGCTGCCTAAGTCGCCTCTATGGATGCGCCAGCCCTGGTTGCGGCTGGAAGGGCATCCGCTGCGTATTAATGTGCTGGATAAGTTGGCGGTTCATTCCGCTGTGGCAACCCTGGATTAATAAAAGGACTAAAGCCTGATTTATACTTCTGCGTCAAGTGACTGGCATAACCCACGGCTCATGCAACGCGCGTGGCTGTGCATTTATACTTCTGCGTGCTGTCTCTGTTGGTCTGCATTAACACTTCTGAAACGCTAGTTGGCAGTGAGGTGTAAATGTTCCTCTGTGTTGAGTTTCTTCGCTGTTTTTTTCTTTTCCTGAACACTTCCGGGATGTACAAGTGACTCAAACTCGCTCATTTTGAGGCAGGAACCGGCGGACGTGCAACAACTTTAACCATGAGGTAAACACAAAACAAAACTTTCCATCCGGAGCTCCTTCACGGGACTCCACACTTGTAAACAATCGCTCGCGCCATTCACGCGGCTCTCAGTCCCGCCCAGACTCATCAGCGCTACCAAGCCGACCAATCACAGAGCTTGCGCTACGCGTCGTTGCGACGTGTAGTTACAATTTTTGAGAGGTGCATGCAGCGACGCCGACGGCCACGGTGAAGGGCTATGCGTCAGCGCCGTAGCATACGCCGATGTTTGACGCAGAAGTATAAATCAGCCTTGAGCCGACAAGAAAATGAATGAATGATTTTAAAACCCCATTAGTTTAAAATTGAATTAAATTTTATTTTGTAGTGCGGGCCCAACTTAATATTAGTTGCTGTTTTAATCGTTTAACTTTATTTGATTAATAAATATGAGTCAGTGGATATTATTGATGCATTTATTGGGTAAAATTGCTCATTTAATGTGTTTTTGGTCATTATCAATGCACCAGCAAAAACAGACCCAGCGGTGAAACTATTGCGCCACGGCTGCTTCAATGACGCCTCATGCTGACGCACTGCTTCTGCGTGCAGTTTAAAAGCTCTGATCTGTTAACATGGACGCCAAAAACACTCTTATGGTGTGAAACAGGCTTTCAGCACTCTCTCTGAAAACACTGGCGGATCAACATTCACCACATGATCGTCTCATCAGCGCTATTATTTGTAACTTGAAGTGGGTTTGCAAACCGGTGTACTTTCCATTGCTTCTTCCTCAAACTGTAGCCGTATGCAATGCGGTCACAAAAGCCCCGTCATCTCAGCTAGGTGTGTCTGAAAAGCACGAGTGTGTTGCGTTGCGTGCGCGTCCCTCCATTGGAAATAACGAACTTGGACGAGTTTGCCTTAGTTAATATCCTGTCATAGTTAGTCCAGTGTGAGCGGTGATTAGTCTTGGTGTACAAACAAGTGCACAGTTGGCATGACTTTGTTAAGTAGCTGGAGAAACGCGGTGTTGAGAAGCGTCTACCGTTAATTAACCGTGACGAATTAAATCGTGGTTAATAATGAAACCGGTTAATCGTTGCTAGAGTATTCATGTGGATGAATGAGTGAGCAGATGAATGAGAGCATGTAGCAAACAGACAGAGTGAATGAGTGAATGTGTTCAGCTGAATAAGAGTGAAATTTCTCAAATGATGAATGCATGCATGCAGCAAACAAAGCCGATGCACACATGCGTCAAACAGTGAGCGAAGGCGTGCGTGCAGCACACTGGAACAATGAATGCATGCATCAAACACACTGAGTGACAGTGCGCATGCACCAAACATCCACTCATTCATTCTCCTTCAGCTTACTCCCTTTATTCATCAGCGGAATGAACCAACAACTATTCCAGCATATGTTTTACTCAGCGAATGTACTTTCAGCTGCAACCCAGTACTGGGAAACACCCATACACACACACACACTCCTACACTGCAGGCAGTTTAGTTCATCAATTCCCCTATAGCGCATGTGTTTGGACTGTAGGGGAAACCGGAGCACCCGGAGGAAACCCACACCAACATGGAGAGAACATGCAAACTCCACACAGAAACACCAACTGACCCAGCCGAGACTCGAACCAGAGACCTTCTTGCAGTGAGGCCACAGTGCTAACCCACTGATTCACTGTGTTGCCAACCATAAAACAGAGCAAGCCAATATACTGCATGA